AGGCCTGGCTACACGTGTCGAGACGGCAACACGATGTCCATACGCATACAGCATACATCTATGTACATATACACACGCATACATACATACATACATACATACATACAGACATACATACATACATACATACGCACGTTCATACATACATTCATACATACATACACCATATACTCCATAGACTACACGTTTGATCCTAAGGGTATACACACACACACATATATATATATATGCACATGCATATGTGCATACATACATACATACATACATACATTCATACATACATACATACATACATACATATATATACATACATACATACATACATACATACATACATGCATGCATACTATACACGCATACATGCATACACACATACATACATACATACGTGCATGGCGGATTGTATTATTCTATTCCATAATTGGTGCCACACATATGTTTAGAATATTATACGAGCGCTTATCTGACATTAACTACATAATTCATATCTGCAGCGCTTTTATAACAAGATACATACTATGACGCTCGAGGTATACAGATCTAAGCTAGCTTCTATATACGGTTAGAATGGTTCTGACTAAAATAGTAATTTCACAGGACTTCTGTGCCAAGCACGGAGACCCCGATGAGGAGATGGAAGCCGAGGATGGTTTTTCCCGCAAGGAATCCCGCTGCGGACCGTGCGTGTGGTTTGATGGGACCTCGTGGCACGACTCGACAACCAGCCCGTGGATAGATCCCGAGGGGGATCTCGAGGAGGATGCAGACGAAGAGAAATGCGTTGCCGAGGATGACGGCGATGCTGCTACGGAGTGGGACGATGAGGAGTGGGCCGAAGATTCCGGCGATGCCGAGGAATTGGCCGGCAATATTTGTGCCAACGCTGGGCATTGGGCTGCAGATGGCAGTGATGCCGCCGAGAAGTTGGCCGAAGATGCAGGCGATGCCGGCAAGTGGGCCGAAGATCCAGGCGATGCCGGCAAGTGGGCCGAAGATCCAGGCGATGCAGAGTGGGCCGAAGATCCAGGCGATGAGGAGTGGGCCGAAGATGCACGCGATGCCGCTGAGTGGGCCGAAGATCCCGATGGCGATGCCGCTGAGGAGTGGGCGGAAGATCCTGTCGGCGATGCCGCTCAGGAGTGGGCGGAAGATCCTGTCGGCGATGCCGCTCAGGAGTGGGCGGAAGATCCTGTCGGCGATGCCGCTCAGGAGTGGGCCGACGATCCTGTCGGCGATGCCGCTCAGGAGTGGGCCGGCGAGGATGGCGACGATGCCGCTCAGGAGCGGGCCGGCGAGGATGCCGGCGATGGTGAGGAGTGGACCGGCGAGGATGCCGGCGATGGTGAGAAGTGGACCGGCGAGGATGCCGGCGATGCCGAAGATCCGGTCGGTGACGCCGCTGAGGAGTGGGGCGAATCCGGCGATGCCACTGAGTGGGTTGAGGGGGATCCCGATGCCGTGCATGCATCCGAGTCAGATTGGATCACGTGGCCGAAAATGAATCAGGTTGTGCCAAAGGACTATCCTGATGCAGCGGAGACGGAGCGGCTGGGTACATTTTGGAAGAAGTACGTGACCCCAAAGGAGCCTGCTACATACAATTAATAAAATAATGTGGTTTTGGTGGTGTGGTTTCTGTTTTATGCCCTATCTATAGAAACAATTATTAAATAACGCCCCTATATAGGAGACCGACAGCATCGAGCCGAAGCAGAACATCCAGGTGCCACCCGCCGAGCACGAGCCCCAAACCGAGCCGAAGCAGAACACCCAGGTGCCGCCCGCCGACCACGAGCCCCAAACGGTTGTCAATGACCCGCCGACAAGCATGGAGGAACATTGTATGATTAGAACCGTTTTCTCAAAACTTATGCAGTCACATTTCTGTAGTTTGATTTTCAGTGATGAATAAGAATGCTAAATAAAACTGAAACAATCATAAAAATAGTTTCACCTCTCGGAATCAGGACCTTATCTGGCGACTGCAGAATAACACCACGGACGAGGAAATGCTGGCGATCCTCAAGAAGCTCAAGGATTCTTGGCTTTGATTATGGCGGTGCAGATTTCTATCAGACACTGTCACATGCAACCTACTTCTGATTTCAAGTAAGGACTCCAAAGAGTCGACTGATTCCTCGACAGCTCCGCCCCTTTGCTTACAATTAGACTGCCCTGCATGCATGTGCAGTACGACCCAAAAACCATAGCAGCAGATGCATGCCCAGGAAGCTGGGTGCCAAGAGCAGCGATGAGCAGGCTGGTCGAGGGATCTTTAAGAGATCGATGTGCACTCGATGTTGGTTGTATGTTTGAGCGCGCAATTGCTACGAACCCTCGACTGACGATGGATCGAAATTTCATTCGGCTAGACTTAAGTCTCGAACTTGAACCCCAAAACCCCTAGCATATGCGGACTAGCGGCCAGTAATTAAGTCCTCCAATGCCAAGCATCCATTTGTCTCGATAGGCGAGCCGCCGACCTCGAGATCTTTCCCGCTCGGAGGTGGGGCCTAGTGCACCTTTGGCTTCATTATGTTTTTGGGGTCAAATGCCATCTTACGAGATTTAGAAGATTGTTAATTCGCATATATTTACCAAGCTAGCTCAGGAGTTCGAGATCCCCAATGCTACGGAAATGAAGGTTGGTTGTCTACCAGCCTCCGTCGTCACAGCTGCACTAGGGGGTGTACAGAAGCCAGTGAACCCCCATCGCCAACGACTCCTCGTGGCTGCAAACAAAACAACCGAAGCCAGCAAGCTCCCGGCAGCACTGAAAAGCAAGGCAACGGGGACAGCAAAGAAGGGGCCACAAGCAACAGCGAAGAAGGAGCCGACAGCAACGGAAAAGAAGGAGCCAGCAGCAACAGCAAGTATAAAGGAGGAATCAGCAACAGCTGAGGAGGAAGCAAAGCCCGCAGAGGCACCTGCCGCAGAGAGTCCAAAGCCATCGACGTCGAAGCCGAAGAAGAGAGCACCCTACCCCGACACTCGATATAACATTGCAAGAAAGCAATTCCTGGCGACGTCTCTCGACTCAAATAACCTGACAATTATATAAGCCCGGTTAGTAAGACATCAAGCCAAGCCCAGCAATTGAATATCCCAGGCTCCCTTCGAATCTACGCCAGTGTGAGAAGCAGACCATGCAACTTCGAAGCAATTTACTCGGCACAGGACGTATCTATGTATCGGTTCTCTCTCTTTCTCTCTCTCTCCCTCTCTCTCCCACGTCATGTGCATCCCTCGTTAAAGTTGTCCATGGCTGCTTCGCTTGATATTTCAGGCCTTTGTTGAATGGGACAATGGGGGCACCAAGTGTGGTTGAGATCTTGTAGACACAGCTGAGTTCACGTCGAATTTACATAAGGATTGAGGGGCAAGGGATTAAGGGATGTACGGGCATCTCGGAAAATGAGAGTGTGTAGACTAGTGGTATCTATACGATAGCTCTACGATCTAGTGTTGGCTCATTTGGAATTGTACCTTTAGTGTTTGAGATCGAGAACCAGGGTTTCTCACGGGGGTTTGCTTGTACAAAGGTTTGCTTTGGCCATGTATTGCACTTTTAAGATTGCAAACTCAGGGCCGATCTGTAAACAATCTAAACATATATATGTTCGTCGAAACACATGACGCTGAACCATTGGTTACCGCTAGTTACCTCTACTGAATGCATTTGGAGTCTGGGTCATAGTGTTTAAAATCTGAGTTTGGGGATATCCATCTATATCTATTGGCTGCTACATTAATCCCTCAGCCCCAAATTACAGTATTGGCCGGAGCAACGGGAGATTGGCATTCTCGAAGGTCATCGATCGATCATTCCACCCTTAGATAATTTGGGATATTGGGTTTGTGGCTCTGGGCGTTGGTTTGGTCTGGGGTTGGAATTCGTATGGGTCCCGACAGTCTTTTTCCAAGGTTGCCTATGATGAGTGCTACCCGAACCCTGGGCCCCAAATCTATGGAAACTACATAGGGCTGCTCCCCGAAAAAGTACTTAAGTGATACAAACTCACTAAACCCCCTAAACCCCAGAACCTTGTTTAAAGCGCCAACCCCCAAGCCTTTAATAAACCCTAAACATAACTCCAAACCTGTAACTTTAGCGATTCGATGCTTCAGAAGAGTCGGAGGTGGACGCATCGAGAGGAGAGTATGTGGAACAAATTTTAGGTACTGATCCAGAATGAGACCAACTCGAAATAGGAATTCCTTATACCAAAGATCGAACTCCTCTAGCCACAGGCAACCGACTATGTTTGTGTCAAGCACTGTGTACTGGAGGGGATCCTTTAAGAGATCTAGATCTAGAGAGGAGCGGTGGTATTCCGACCTACAGAGATCGAGAGATGAAACTAAATACAAACCATGGGCACTGCAACCGGCGAGCTCGTATGCTTTGGCGGCAACACCTCCCACCTTTCGGGCCGGGTTGCTGCATCGATCATGTGCAGGAATGCAGGAATTCAAACGGTGTGTGTTTGTTGTTGGGGATTCTCTGTTGGGTTCTCGGCTTTAGATTTGGGGTGTGTCACGGACGCAAGGAATGTTTCCGTTTGTTTCGGCTTCGGGCTTGGGGGCTTTTGACTTGACCACAAATGGTGTCTAAGTTTGCGTTTTGGAATATGGATTACATAAGGCTTTAAATGGCTGGTCCATGCGCCCAGGTGGAAGGCGTCCTTGGAATGCGCAGACGTCCTTTCTTCGATGTCACCGAATGAGATCAAGAGGAGGAGGTATTGAGGAGATCTAGACGGCGCCTGTGTACTGAGTTTTTCTATACCTGCATCATTTGGGCTAGCTGCTGTGATCGAAGCGGGGGGAGTTGCCTGATTGTGATCATTATCTGCAACGTACTGGCTTTAGCCTATGCATAAATATTGGTTGTTCAATGATACTAGTTCTTCAACTTATAATTAGCTCTCGGATGACTTCCAGGCAACGCAAGGGTGCTTCAGGCCCATGGCCACAGTGTCTTGCACATCAGATGCAAACGTGCTCTTGTGCAGACCCTCGATCGTGGAGAGACGTGTTTTTCTCAAGGCATGGGGACCCCGTCGAGAGAGTCTCAGCTTCGAAGGATAAGTATTGAACATGTGCAGGCTTGCTGCATGATCAGCTGCTGTGATGCAGTGTGTTCCCTTGTGCACGCATCCCGGGCTATGACTGGTGCAAAGTGCTTTGATGCTCAGATCGATCAGTGACCCGCATTTGCATCCTATGAAGCCTCGATCCCTGTATAGGCTGGTGAATTTGCATGCAAATTACACTCGATGGCCTGCTTGAGTATACAATTAGGAGTACAGTTGTACTACACACAAGCCTGCTAGCAGCCATGAAGTTCACGCGCCTCCTCGTGCCGCTGGCAACACTCCATATGAGCTGCTGGGATCGATGTAGATCATCATAATAATGATCGAAGATCTCAGAATTCCTCAGTTTCGATTCGGATTGCATCATGAGCCTAGGTTTTGGGCCACGACCCAATGACCTAGACTTTCTCGAAGCCTTCGCAGGCTGGAACCCGAAAGCACCATATACATGCACTAGACCGTACGTGTCACTGGATTGCAGTCATCTTCAAGCTGGCACGGCACCCGATATGTTGACGCAGCACATGCTATATAAAACCCCCAGTCCAATATCGACAGGAGAACACCTCCTCTTCTCTGCGGCCAAGTTTTATGGCATGCGTGCCCATGCCATCGACGATCCTCCAGCTGCAATGTATTGAAAGTCACCTTAACCGGACATGTTGCTTCCAGCTTTGATCGGTCCGAGGTAGCCTATTCGAGGAAGCTTGATGTGTTGACCGCCTTCGGCTTCCTAGTGTTCCTGAATAGTGCTCTTTGGTTGCAATGTCCTAGAAGATCGGTAGCAGCAGTTTTGCAGTTCCCCGAAGGATGTCCTATGTGAGGCCAGAAGACTTCGGCCGCAAGGCGTAGCGTGGTATGCTGTGCCGTGCAGCACCTGGGTCTTTATGAGCTTCAGCTGCAGATACCATTAGAGTTATATTGTATTTGAAGGTATTGGCTACCAGTTTTACAGTTGCTTGATTTTTCAATGGGGGGTGTGCAGAGCATTGCTGCCATGAGATCAGGAGTCGGGGAAGCTCCAAACGCAGGAGGCTCAACGTGAAAGGCGATCGGGATACCAGCGATGCAACAGCCTACTTTGCAAACATACATTATAAATCCGACACCCCGAATCCCTAAATTTTGGGAGTGCTGAACCCCCTATACAGTTTATCCTTGGTACCAGGCAGTTACAGATCCAAGAAAGTCAAGAGCGCGAACCGTCTGGCCCGCCGTGTGGCCTATTTGCTGCCAGGCTGCACTTGTGCTGGCATATTCGGAACGTATGCCTGATGGAGCTGATCACAGGATGGAGTACCACCACCGATCCGGGAGTTACTACATCCTGGAAAACCCGAGTGGATCTCTGCTCTTCGAACTCCCATGCATTAAAGCAACTCCGGTGGAATCGATGCATCAAAAGTGTGCACATTTGGCCCAGTTCAAGTCTATGTCACATAAGGCACGATTGAAAGATCACAACGCCACCAGCATCAATGTGTGCTTGGGGGCACTTGGTGCACCCAGCAGGAAGTGTGTTGCTGGGCCATGTAATCTTATTGATGGCAAGCTTAGATACACACCTCCAATGCTCCTGAGGTTACCTTATGGGGAACTGCTCCCTTCCTTGGTCAACTCTACGAGCAACTTACAGGGACACGGAGGACTTCGGATCAAACATTAGTTGCTGTGCTTGTGAATCTAGATCAAAAATCCTACATCCCATAGTTAATCCTCCAACAAAACAAGTAGCACACCCCACACCTCATAATCGCAGGACCTCATCCCCACGAAAGTCGAAACCCTAAAGCCCCACCGGAGCTGTTCAAAGCTGTTGCATTTTAAATACTTGGCCAGTATGCCAGCCCGCATAGCAACAACTTAGAATGCACAAGGCTTTTTTCGATGCAGAAAACATAACTCTTTTAGTTGGAACAGACTCGTTTACTAGTACTTCCATTTATCGGGGGGCCAGGAATTTAAAGATTATTAGTTGCATAAAACATACAGGCTCACACGAATCCATATATTTTCTTCCTACTCACCTAACATATTTGAGACCTATACAAGATCTAGGGGTCCATATAAGACGACGTGCAGGAACCAATTGAAGCGCATCCAGTCCTTCTTGAAGATGGACATCAGCCGTGGCTACACCGATTCCCTGGGTCGGAAGAGAAGAGCGCTTTGGCTGCATCACTCATGAACTGCAGATGAATTATGTTGTAGTATAAAGCCTGTGCCAAAGGTTGGCGGCACTGATCTTACAGCCACTGGTGTTTACCCCGGGACGATGGCTATGAAAGTCTCTTGGTATGTTAGCCCGATCTAGTTGCAATATACCATTTTGGCAACACACACATTGTTATAAGCCACATGAACCGGATGTCACTTGAGGTTGCAGGCCTTCTTCAGAAGCACTTGGCAAATGCACCAAGCACACATGCTCAAGACGAACAGGACATGGAATTGTTTGACACGGAGGGTGATGATAAATCTGATTCCGGCCTCGAAGATGTCGTCGGCTGCAATCATATCTCGCCGCCACCAGCAGTGCCTAGCCGGAGCGGGGATTCGAGCTAGCCAGTACGTGTCTGAGGAGTATGATCGGCTGCTAGAAAAGAAGACCGGGTGACGTGTTGCTCTGAGATTGGAAGTGCAAGAACAAACCCAATAGCGTGTATCAGCGTGTATCCCCGTGTATCCGGATGCTTGAACGACCGGTTAGCGTGTATCAGCGTGTATCGGTCGTTAGATTATTAAGCATATCCGTGAATGCAGCCATCGAGTGCCGAATCTTTCGGTCGAGTGTGTTTTGGGTGCTCGCCATGGGTCGGGCAGGGTCAAAGGGCAAGGTTGGCAAGGGAGCAGCCACTAGTGGGCCGGATGGTGGCAAGGAGGCTCCAGATCTGCACTTGTCCATCGAGAAAGCACCCCGTACTTACGAGTATGTCGGGCGAGTACCCAGCCCGAGCCCCGGCAAGAATGGAGGAAAAGGCCCCAAAGGAAAAGATGGTGCTGCAACTAAGGGCAAGGAGAAGGGGAAAGGTAAGCCATCGTCCAACGGCCTTGGCGGGAGCGCTCCCGAGTGCCGCACTCCGACCCCTAAGAAGCACGATCCGGGTGCCCAGAGTACGGGCAGCCCTCCGAGCAGGCCGACCAAGGGCGCAAAGGGTGCCAGTCAGTCTGACGATCATAGCTCGAAGAGTGTTGTGGGGCAACCTGGCAAAGGCAAGGCCAGCAAAGGGGCGGCTGGTGCCTTGGATCCGGCAGGCAAGCCGGGCACGAATGGTGGTCTGGAGCCCAGCCCGGCAAGGGCACGGAAGGCGCAGCGGCCGAGGCCCCAGGCAAAGGCGCTAAGTGTGCTGGTGCTGTGCATCCTGCCAAAGGCAGCAAGGGCACCGCTCAAAGTGGCAACGGCTCTAAGGGTGCTAAAGGCATCAAGGGCGCCGATCAGAGTGCCAAAGGCCCTAAGGGTGAGGCCAGCAAAGGCAGCAGCAATGGTGCCGATCACAATGGCAAAGCCGTGAAGGGTGCTGTGGATGCCAGCAAGGTTGCCGATCAGAGTGGCAAGATCGCGAAGGGTGCCGTGAAAGGCAGCAAGGGCGCCGATCAGATTGGCAAAGGCCCTAAGGGTGAGGCTAGCAAAGGCAGCAAAGGCGCCGATCAGAGTGGCAAGGGTGTGCCTAGCAAAGGCAGCAAGGACGCCGATCAGAGTGGCAAGGGTGTGGCTAGCAAAGGCAGCAAGGACGCCGATCAGAGTGGCAAAGGACCCCAGGGAGCTAGCAAAGGCAGCAAGGACACCGATCAGAGTGGCAAAGGACCCCAGGGAGCTAGCAAAGGCAGCAAGGGCACCGATCAGAGTGGCAAAGGACCCCAGGGAGCTAGCAAAGGCAGCAAGGGCACCGATCAGAGTAGCAAGGGCACCAAAGGTGCCAAGGGAGCTCAGGTTGGCAACAGGGACATGATCGTTGATCACAATGGCAAGAGAAAGGGCGAGAGAACAGATCAACTCGATCGCAATGTGTGTCGACGTGTGTCTTTCGGATCAGGACCGGCCATGCACACAATTATGTGTCATGCTTCATCTCTGTATTTGTATATTTACACTTGTGCCCATGCTTACATGCACGCAGTCTCGGAAGCTACGCCGAGCCCGACAAGTACCGAGCCCGCGACCCCTGGGAAGTGGCTTGCCATTAAATTAGATATAGATTGCTATCGAATCCACGTGAACCCCACCATGTATATAGAACCTATCCGGCCTGTAACTCTTAACTATTAACAGGTCTATCATTCGATCCGACACGAGCGTCTCTACCATGAGCGATGGCCTTGGAGCCGTCGATATGAAGCCATTGGCCGCCGGCGTCAACCCTCAGAATGTTCCGGATGTTGCACCTCATTTGCATCAAGCTGCCCTAAACCCTGAAATCGGTGATGAACCACTGCGGCTAATATATTTAGATGTCTTGCAGCCGAGGCAAGGCCACTCACCGAGCAAGAGCGACACCAGATCGAGGCCGTTACTGTGCTAGCTATGAATAATGAACCCCGGGTCCATATATTTCTCACCGGTATCGATCTCTAGCTGCTTCTAATGTTACTGAACCAAACCTAACTAATCTGAAACCCCGAGAAAACTCGAAACCTCGAAACCCCATTCGGCTAGGCCTTATCCGGACCGGGTGACATTCCGCTGCAGCAGCGCAAAGCACTCAATGAAAAGCTGAGACGACGGATGATGAATGGCCAAGGCATCTATATCAGGAGATCCACCTATCATGCGATGCCACACTTATACACATAGTTGCCGATCACGGTATGTTGAGGCCTACGCAAAGGACTAGTGGCCCAGTGGGCTGCCACGCCTCCGGGTTCGATGGCCCGGCTCCGCGGCAGCAATCCAGTTGATGTTACCTGCATGGTGTCATTATCGCTTTCTGAACAATACACCCAGCTGCAGGTTCGAGTTCCTCAAGGCATTCTTGTTGGACAAGGACAACCTAGCCACAATAGCGGTGGAGCCTTACTATGAGGAGCTCCTCGGATCGATCTTTATCCGGACTGCTATATAGATGCTTACAGTTTGACTATCTGAGGCTATCAGAAAGCAAAGAGAAGGAGCAGTTTACCGAACTGCCACTTTGTCTGATTCGGCAGAAGTACGATGGTGTCGCGGGCGGCAAAGCATTCGTGGACAATCTGATTGCGAGCTACTTGGCTTCGAAGCATCTTGTTCCCCAAATTTTAGAACCCAACCCACAGACACCCCAACCTATGCATATCCCAGGCCAGACTGGAAAAAAACATCCCCAGTCGGACGACAAAGAGATGAGATTGTACAAGATTTTCGACAGCATCACGTCTTCCAGTGCCTAGGTTTGCAATTTGTTGTGACCTTTGATTTAAGAGTGCAATGTATTAGGTGTACATATACATATATACTAGATTGTAGATCTACGATAGACTTGTGTAGATACATAGAAAGATGGACATAGTGTTGTAGGGCTTAGGGCTTTGGGTTTAGGCTTTAGGGTTTAGGGGTTTAGGGCTTAGGGCTTTGGGTTTAGGAAATCCCATGCTCAACAAAGGCTCCAACATCAATCGATGTGGGAGTCGAACCAGTGCTGCTATGACTGCATCCGACAACAAGGCGGAACGCAGGGCCATATCGGAAACCCTGGAGGCCAAGGTGGCTTCAATGGGAAAGATGAGTATTACCCAGGGGCAACCGCCGAAGGGTAAAGGAAAGAGTGGGAAGGGCAAAGGCAAGAAGGACGACCGAATAGTAGGAGCTAGCTCTTTAGTGTTCCGGTGTTCCAATATTGTACTTCGATCTAATCGTACCCTGTTATAACGGCCCCAAACCCCGAAAACAAAACACGAAACCCTTCTTGAGTAATATGTCAGGAGATGAGCCAAGAAGAAGTGGACAAAAAAATTTTCAGAAGGACTTGCAAGCGTGCATGCCCCAGTATGTCTCACCTTCAACATAGTTGTCCCTAAGCCCCGAAAGAACGTGAAAATCAATGCCACCCAGGGTACGCGATTTGTCGGACAAAGCCGTCGTGGTGGCATCTGGGCTTGGATCCTGTGGACTCGCCAATCAGGAGGGCTTGATTGCCCAGCTGGGGACGATCGCTACGGAGTGCACGAAGATTCGAGATGAGAGTTCTGGCTGAAAGGTAGCACACACAAGACTTCACAGTAGAAGAAACAGCCCCAAGCCAAATCCTTCAATCCACATTCAAAGTTCCACCATCCCCTGCTATATATGCAGCTCAGGATTCAGCAGCTCGTGTTCGACGCGAAGCCATTTGACGAATGCCTCGGGTGCTTGAATTACTACAAGAACGAGATCCTTCACGCTGCTTTGGATAAATTACTTTGTCGTCTGTGTCCATGGCTTCCGATACATGTAGCATGCATCGATCTATTATGTCAGGATTACCAGCGACAAGTCACTGATGCCGAAGGAGTCTGGCAGGGCCAGGAACGACGCCACACGTCTTATTCTAATCGGCATCACATACAAGTCTTTCGCATTAGTATACCCAAAATCCCCTAATCTGTTCTGTTGTTAAGGCAAAGCTGCACAGAAGAGAAAGCTTGAGAAAGCAGAGGAGAAGAAGAAAAAGAAAGCAAAGGAAGAAGGAGAAGATGAAGATGCAGAGGTTCATGAAGATGGTTGGGAGGAGCAGCCCGATCATGATGAAGATGGCGAAGAGGACGAGTGGGAGGAGGAATGCGCTGCTAAGTAAACCCTAACCTCTTGCAAATGCGCAAGTGCCGAAGTCTGCACATGTTCGATCGACATATGCTCGAGCTTTTGTAGAAGTCAATTGTTTTCTGCTATCCGGGGTTTGTGGCTTGTCCTGCAGGCACATGCAATTGGTGTGCAATGTAGATCATACTTCGGATCGTGGTGCATGCATACGTAATACTAAAGCATACCAACGCTGCACATGTGCATAGTGCAACAAGCCGGTGGGTTTGGATCCCATGTACAAAATGCCATGGGAAGGGGTACCACGTGCGATCATGTGAGCGATCTGCGGTGCAAAACAATTTAAATGAATATGATGCGGCCGAGTCTGCTCTTGTCAGCGCACATCGATGCTTGGGAGCCGCATCACGAAATCCTTGCAGCTTAAGGCTCTTGTTGCAATGAACCCATGGGACCCATGACTTTAGTCTTACATATATGCACCTGTATGCCCTAGCCCAAATACCTTTAGAATTTGTTGAAGCTGTCTTTAACTCGTACCCCCCCTCTACAATTTAGGGTTTAGGTCTTTAGGGTTTATAGGTTTAGCAATAGACGTGTATATCGTGGAAGTTCTTGCTGTTCTCCAACGCAAATTATGGACCTTTTGAAACATCGGCATACCCTAAATCCTAAACCCTAAACCCTGCAAACCTTCGCACTTCCAGATCCTCAACTACCCTGAACAATCCCAGCCCGGTGAGCTGCAGTTTCAGCCGAAGCATATATAAACGATTACTCTAAAGTTGAATATGCCATGGTTTCGAGATCTTCGGTTGAGCCAGCCACACATGTGGCTAATTGGGCAGAGCAGTATGTTGAGAAGACTTGTGACGATGTCCTACGGCTACTTTCTACTGGAAAGGCTGGCTTGGATTGTTTGATTGGCCATGGGCAATGATTAATGGCTATAGTGCCTACTTATCTATCCTACCGGAGGTCCCGCTTGTAGAGCTGGCCAAGTCACTGAGTCATCTTCGAGAGCTTCCTCAGTGCGTGGTACCGCAGTTCGGCTGCTATGTTGGTTGATCTACGATGTTATTTTTTGTGCGTGTAGCATTCAGCAATACACCATGTACTTGAGGAAGGATTTGCTAGAATTGGCCCATGGGTTCGAGACTGGGAATTCCTGGGGCCAGATGCGTCAACTTATCCGGTGGTGCGACCGGCAACCCTGGCGCAAAATCTTGCCGCAACCTTTTGCGTGTCCTAGCTGCATGAGTCCATGAAGTTGTGACCGAGGTGCATCCCAAGCCAGTTGATCACTGCTTCGTTCCTTGAGCACCTAAGGATTCAAATGAAAGCGGAACGCTGCTGAGCTATCACCCGCTAATGTGTCTCATTATCGAGTTCTACCTTTGCATGTGCCTATATAATCATCCATGATTGGTCCAGGAATACCAAGACGCCCACGGCACAAGAACACGATTGGTGGATCACCACATACTGCTGCCACATGAAATCATCGGATGCTTGTATGACACGAACAAATTGGGATTGGTAGCTGGGGATGCGACTTGGTTGAAAACATGAATTGTGGCACAACCTGGGGTGTATGTATATGTGTGTATATATA